TTAAGCTATAAAATATTACATTTTATACTAATGAATTAAGAGCCTCCTTGCTTGACCATTAAGTCAAAGTTACGTAAGAATTTGAATTTTTGAGTGGAGCTGGCTGTTCGAGTTGACACTTGTATTATATATCTAAAGTTAACATATATATATAAACATAATGCATACGAAAGGGGTTTTTTTTTTTAATTTTATAATAATGTGCATGTATGTATAAAGTATGACTTCATTAATATTTATATTAGCTCGACTCGTGGTCTAAATACTCTTTTGATTATTATACTTCTGGTTTTGAATTCATTTTGATCTCTTTCGAATTTTATAATAATGTATATTTAAAATATGATTTGGAGGCCAACTGGAGTATAGCTCAACAGATTAAGGTATATGTATCTAACTATGAGATTGAGAGTTTGAATCTCCACCCCACATGTTGTAATATTAAAAGATTGGGAGGTAGGATTGATTAKTGAGGAAATTTAAGATTTAAACATCTAAATGAAAGCTCGTGTATTCACTTCCTATAGAAAAGCTTCAAATTAGACTAACACATATATTGCAGAGTTCAACAAGTCAAGGAAGATCAATTTACTGACGTTTAGATGGAAGAACCGTTCTTGACAGAATCAAACACCTCTATGAGCTTGAATTAAAATGACGAAATTGCTACTTTTTCCAAATATGGCACTCGGGATTAGCGAGTGTTTGTTTGTTTTTTTTCTTTTCTTTTTACTCTCTAGAGAGGGAAAAAAAATTGATTCAGTGCCGTTTGCAATTCTCCTACTTCAATTACCTCAATCAAAAGGAAAAAAAAAAAGATAAATATACGTACACTTACTCAATTCATTACCAATCGTAAACTTATTCTTATACGTATCTGAACGTTGATCTTCTCGAGAGTTCCTAGATAGTTTCCTATTAATTCCCTAGAAGCTAAGGTCTCTACGTAGCTTGGCCACCAAAAGACAACAACAAATTAATCCCCATGCCATTGCCTTTAACACACCCACGCCAAGTTTCCCAAGTTATGGGTCTTCTCTTTCTCTCTTTTTTTTCTCTTCCTCTTTTTTAACCCACCACGCAAGTTCCCATTTTTGTTCCAATTTTCACCCAACTTTGTAAAATTCCCCTAACTTGCCAAACAAGCCCTCCAACTAGCTCTCTTTCAAACTCTCACCCATATGGCAATTTTTCATTCATCTAACTATTTGGATAGGATAGAGAGATCATGTGGATAATGGCTTTAATTTTGTGAGTTCAATGATTGAGATCGTCATAAATACTTTATTCTTGGTGTGTTTAGATTTTAGTTTTGGTAATGTTTTAAAGTGCTGGAAGTTTCAGGAGTGAAATGTTTGTATTCCTCTCAAACGTAAGCGTAAGTAAATTGAACTTCGTTAATCTTGTGAAATGTCGCGTCATCATGAAGATTTAATGTGATCATTATATTGTAGGTTGAGTTTTATCTTTGTATTATTTTTAATGCTAAATTATACAAAATGCCTCTAATTTTGTGTAATTGACTTTAACTTTTATGTGTTCTTCGACATTTTATCAGTTTAAAAAATAATTCATTATACATCTAAAGGAAGTTGGGTATGAAATAATTTGTATGCACTTTTACTGTAACCCACATATATACCAAAATCTAGTATTATATTCGACATAGGTGACATAAGATTTATGTTAAATACAATAAAAAAAACATAATACTTGAACCTATAAAGGATAAATAAATTTAGAACTGAAATAGTAGTGAGATGCAAACATAGTCTCACATTGGTTAGAAACAGTAGCGATCATGAATATAAGTAAAGAGAATATCTATTTGTGCGTACGTAAAAGTGAATAGTGAACAATATCATACTATTATAAAAATAAGAAGAAACCGTGAACCGTTAAAAGTGGTAAATTATGTCGAAGTCAAAAGAAAAAAGTGTAAATTATGTCTTTTTTTCTTATAATTCTAAAACGTGGCCTTTAATTTTGAAGCAAAGCTAGTGGATTGGTAGAGAGGTTTTTGAATGAAGGCAAACCAAATTCACCTTAGTGGGATTTAACTTGTACGCATTGCATAATGACATTTTGCTTAATATTATTTATGAGGCATGCAATTATCACAACAATATTTATTCACTTCTTTTTTAATTACGATAAATTACTAAACGTYTATTTTTCTGGATGTATTTTTAATTTTTATTCATTTTAGTCTCAATATTTTTAAAACGTCTATTTTGGTATTTTTAAAAATGGACTATTTTGGTCATTTCATTTTCATTTTTGTCTCATTTCTTTCCATCACAATTTTATAATAACATTTCACTCACAAAATTTCTGAGAATGTAACCATAGATTTGTATTCAAATGTTTTGATTGTATATAAAATTTATGTTAAAATTTTGTAAATATAGACTCATTCATTATCTAAAAAAAGAAAAAAAATGATCACGTTCAAAAATATAGTCAGACATTTTAAAAATATATGGATTAAAATGAATCGAAACTAAAAATACAATAACGGGTATAAATAGTTTAAAAGATCCGTACAAATCAAAGATTTGACTTCCAAGTCCTATATAGTTGGCCTTTACATTTAAAACAGGGAAACTTCTAATTTAGTTTTAAAAGAAGAAAGCCTTTGGAATTTGAATGTCAAAATTTCTTTGGAGCATTTTGTGATAGCAACTTAACTAAAAATTGGGAATTTGCCAACCTTTTTTTCCCTATCGAAAAGATAACTGAAAACTGAATTCTACCTAACTTAAACCCTACCTCTTTGTAAGTTTATTTTGGTTTTTATTATTAAATTAGCCCTTCTAAGGTTAATTTTGGCCAATCACATTAATATATGATATAAAATAAAACTTCCACCAAAATGACAAGAAAATTTTTGTTACGAAGATAATTAATAATTATTGTTCGTTTAGAATGTTTTTCCGTAGAACAGTGCACCTTGAGGAACCTTTGAACAATGGAGTAATATTTGAAAGAAAAAATTTTAATAAATAAATACATACATCATATATATATATATATATATACACACTTTCTTTTTTTCATTTTCTCCAAAATATCATTTCATGATGTTGTGTCACGAATCAACTTTTAAAGAATTAATAAACAATCGGAAAATTGTAGTGGGTAGAAAAAAACTTTTATGTATTTCAAACTATGTCATCTGTTTTTTTTTTCAAATATAGTACAAATTTTCACTTATATTAGTAGTATATCAGATACTGATATTAGTAGTATATCAGATACTGATATTAGTAGTATATCAGACACTCATATCAGTAATATATAAGATGTATATCACATATATATTACACAGACACTCACATCAATAGTATATCAGATATATACACATACATATTACAAGTATATAAAACATTCATATTAGTAGTATATCACATATAGATAAAGTTATCATTTTAAAATCAGACCTCTATTTTTCTTAAAAAAAGTGTTATATTTAAAATACTAAATGTGGTTGCTATTTTGTTAATTTTACTAAATATTTTTATTATATTTGCGACAAATTTTCTTAAATCTTTTTCTTTACAACTAAAAGTATTTTTTTTGAGTTAAAAAATAGAGGGATCGGATCGAACTTTCAAGATTATATTAGGAAAGTTTGAAAGTAATATGTTTGGACTGACCAATAAATTTTTCTTTGTAAAACGATTATCAATAATATGAAGAGATATTTAGATAATTATTTTGATAAAACCATTTTATCAAAAGTGATTCCTGTCCAAACCATCCCAAAATTAGTTCCAGAACCATTTAAAAATCCGTTTTTTATTCCCATGGTCAGAGCCGAGAAGGAACAGGGGCAACTAATTAAATTCAAAATGTATAATCTCTTAAGATTTAAAATTCTTTTTTTCTTTCTTCTGGTCAAAACGAGTATATGACTTATTAAGAGATTGTGAATTCGACCCTCATCCCACATGCTAGAAAAAGATTTATCTAATTTATCCCTCTAAAATTCTTAGAATTGATATTATATATAATATATGTAAAAAATATTAAAATGTAAAAATTTGCCCCTCGGAAAAAAAAGACTTGAGATTACACCCCTACTTACTCTAATTAATGCTAGAATATAACGTTGAAAACTACCTGTAAAGATAAATAATTAATTTTTTAAAGACAAAGTATTGATTACACTTAAATAAAAATTTAGACAAATTATTATAACATATGGTAGTAGTCCAGCTCAAATAAAAATTATTTTGGTCCCTATACTTCTTTTTTATTTTTTTTTGTTCATTTTAGTATATATATTTTCAAAATGTCTCTTGTGATCTCGGTATAAATTTTAAAAAGTGATTATTTTAGTCCATATTTATAAAATTTAACACAAATTTTATACACAATCGAAATTCTTGAATTCAAATTTATAACTACATTTAAAAAAAAAGTACACATCAACATATGAGGGTAGAGATTTAAATGCACGATCTATTAGTTACAATATGTCTTAATCAATTTGAGTTATACTCAAGTGGAAACATTTGAAAAAAAAAATTAGTGAATGAAGTATCGTGTTAAAATTTTGAAAATGAATGAACCAAAATAATTACTTTTTAAAAATATAAATGGACCAAAAAGAGACTACAATGAACAAAAGTTAAAAGTATATGAATTAAATTAAGGAAGAAACTAAAATTAACCAAACTTGAAAATAAAAAGAACTAAAATAATATTCCAAATTAAATAAATAAATAAAAATAGGGTTTTTCCATGCAAATCCATGCAATTAATACACTGTTCATAATTAAACTTAAACCTTTGGAAAAAGAGAGATTAGAAATTAAAGGGTCTCTTAATTTCGAGGGAAGTGAAAAACCAGAAGTCGGCTACCGGCCAACTCATTCTTGCGTCTCAATCTCTTGCTTCTCAATCCAATATTTCTCTCTTCTTCCATTGTTTTTTTCCTCTATAAATAAACCCCTAATCTTAAAGTACATTTCATGTTTTTGAATTCAGTTGGTCACCCACAAATCCAGCAAAACTTTCCCTACTTCCTTTTTTTTTCCCTTTCTCAAACCCCTTTTGGTTTTAAATTCTCCTAGTATAATTCCCACGAACATGTGTCGTCGATTACGCACTCGTTGCCTTCTTCTTCTTCCCCTTCTCGTCACTGTTCTCGTCTCCGATCTCTATTCCACCTCCCACGCTGCCGTTGATCCTCCACCCTCGTTCAGCAGCGGCGACGGGGTGGATCATGATCGGCATTATGAATACTCCTCCGAATTATTGGATTCGTTTGTGTTGACGACGAAGTTGGAGAGGGGAGCACCGTCACCAGTGGCATCACCGGAGATATTCAACGTGGATGATTTCGGAGCAATGGGTGACGGAGAAGATGATAGTGAGGTGAGGACAAGAATTTTGATTCGTAAGACAAGTTGTCTGATTGATGTATTAACTGTTGAGCTATGCTGGGGAGTTAGAGGGTGAGAATTGAAAGAAGGGGGAAGTTGAAGGGTTTTTGGATTTTAATGGGGTGTGTTTAATTATTTCAGGCGTTTAAAGAAGCATGGAAGGAAGCTTGTTCGTCTACAAATGGCATTCTTTTGGTTCCCTATGAAAGAACTTATCATCTTAAACCAATCACTTTCTCTGGTCCTTGTAACTCTCCTCTTGTATTTAAGGTATGTTTTACGAAATCATATCTTTATTTTTTTAATAGACATTATTTGTTCGATTGTGTCGAGTTGTGGGTGTTAATTTCCTTAAGACTAACTAACAAACGGATATGGTTTGAAATATGAATCAAATTTATCCTTTTACTACGAGCATCTAGAAGCTTTTTTTAGTTCAAAGCATGTGAGCGGGAGAAATTGAACCTTCGATGACTTTAACAAAATTAAGAACTATCTTGTATATTGAGTTATACTTGAACTGATGGTAAAAGGGAAGATTTTACTAATTTTCTTTGCATAGTATATTTGAATTAATTTATTTATATTATATCGAATAAATAATTGAGTCACACTCATACTCTTTATTGTCTAGAATAAATAAAGCAAATAGTAGTACAGGAGGRAGGAGAAAGTTTTTTCTCGTATAACTTTATATAAGTTACGTCAATTCAAGTATAGTTTAATGGATAAGACAATTGTTGAACTAAAAAAACTTAGTATAAATCATAATTTTTTATTATTTTTTTTAATAGCACGATCTTTTATCTGAGTCACCATAAAAATCTTTGCATTTATTAATATATTCATTTGATTTCGTTTAGGTTTTTTCATTTCTTCTTCTTGACCTTAATAATAACCGTTTTATTTTATTTTTGTTTTACTTTAATCTTTGACAACCTTCTACTTAGGGTTGAGGGTTCCAGAGTCTAGTGTGTTTAGCCTACTGTATTTATTTTTTAAAGTGAGATATTTTTGTAAATACATGTTGGAAGTGTAATTGGTACAGCAGTGTAAGTTAAATACTTATATTTTAAAAAGAAAAAATCAAGATTGATAAATTTTATCGTTATTATAACGTAATTTCGAGAATTTATTTTTATTAAAAAACAATTATAAGTTGAGGTTATTTCAACTTTAGAATTATTTTGTCAATAAGACACTTATTATCATTTTGTCAATAAGACACTTATTATCATTTTAAATGCTGATTATTTGATTCTCACCCTAAAGTCGTTAAACTAAAAAAAAAAAGAAGAAGAAGACTATATTATTATTTTCTCTTAGTAATTAATTTGAATTTTGCAAACTTGGAAGATCGATGGGACAATAAAAGCATCCCCACATCTATCAGATTACGAGAAAGACAGAAGGCATTGGATTGTGTTTCAAAATATGGAAGATTTTACAGTGAAAGGTGATGGAACCATTAATGGAAATGGAAGAAAATGGTGGTTAAATTCTTGCAAAGTCAACAAAACTCTTGTGAGTTCCTCAATTTTAACTTGATCCATTTTTTTATTTTCATAATATAATTCTATGTATTAATGGGTTTTTTCCCTTTTTTTTGGTTGTTTTTTTCAGCCTTGCAAGGATGCTCCAACAGTAAGTTCGTTCACATGCCTATATGAGCAAAAATTATTATTCATTTCTTTACATAATTGCTTGTTTTGAACCATCTCCACRATAGTAGAATTTAACATCCTATAATTTTTCTCAGCAACTAAATATAGTAAAGTTAGACGGTTGTCTATGTTGAAGTGTCTGCAAGCTAGCCATGATACTTTGGATATATATATACTCTCCCATATAAATTCCAAATAACCCATGAAATTTAGAGTTCCTATGGCAACTTGATAGTAAAATAATTACTTGAAAAAGAAGAAAAGGTAGAGAAAGATTCTAGTTTCATTTCCTCTTACTTTGATTAACTTTTGGAACTGATTTCTCTATCTCTCTCTGTTCAGGCTGTTACTTTCTATCAATGTACCAATCTGAGAGTGGAAGGGCTGAGGTTCAGAAATGCACAAAAGATGCATCTTTCTTTTCAGAAATGCAACAATGTTAAAGCTCTAAATCTCTGGATTTATGCACCAGGAAACAGCCCCAACACAGATGGCATTCATGTCACAGGCACCCAATTCATTGTCATCGAAAACTGTCTCATAATGACTGGTACCTCCCAAAAGCTACAAACACATACAATATATAACTAAAAGAAGACCTATTTTCTCAACTCAATGGTAGTTTTAAATCTTATTTTTTACTTTCTTGAAGGTGATGACTGCATTTCGATCGTAAGCGGGTCAAAAAATGTCCGAGCAAAGGGCATAACTTGTGGACCAGGCCATGGGATCAGGTCTCAACTACAGAGCTCCACATATTAATTTCATTCATTGTGTTTCTTATAATTGATAGTGTTTGTTTTCTTTTTATGATTTATTTTCCAGTATTGGAAGCTTGGGAGCTGGGAAATCAGAAGCTGAGGTTTCGAATGTGGTAGTTGATACAGCGAAGTTTTCAGGAACATCAAATGGAGTGAGAATCAAGACTTGGCAGGTAAAAATATTTGCTCTAAGTTGTCCACAAGTAGCTAAAAGAAAAGAAGAAAGAAAACCCAGTTTAGAACAGTAAAGATTACTTTGTTTGACTTGAAAATTGAAACTATTTCACTTTCATAAGACTCAAAAAATCAGAAAATGATGGAAGATTACTGGATGCAAAAGCAACAGTGTTTGCGCCAGCTGATTTTGACACCAGAACTTGACCTGCACATTACTTAATCCTCTACTTTCTGACCAACTATTTACCTGTAGAAGTTCAGGTATCATGTGTTTTTCAAACCTACCAAACAAATAACATCTTTTTCACAAGTCAATGACCTTCAGGAGGGAGAGGGGATTTTTGGTTGCTCTCTCCCCTGCCGGTCAGCTTAAGAATTTGGCATTGTATAGCTCTCAAACATAGTGGACTAGTGAAATGAATAAATTATGGAAGTTTCAGCACTAGAGAAAAAAATAAACATTTAAAAATTCAATGGGCCATGTTTTGCCACTCTTTCTTTGAATTTTTTATACAAACTGTATGAAAGCAATAACATGGCATGTTTTGAGTCTTTTTGACGGTCTTATGGAGAATAACTACATAGTTGAAATTTTATTTAGTTGAGTCTTAGTTTAGTTTCTAAATTTTCCCAATTTTTCTGGTTTTGTTTTATGTTCTACTTCTGCCTACAAACTTTGTTCAAAAAATTGTTTCTGCTTTATCATCAAATTTGTGTATTCTTACATCATATTACTTGTATTTAAAGTCGCATGTAATATTAAATATCAAAATTGATAACTTAAGATTTATGTTAATACAATATGAAAGTTTCTACAAGTAATAACTAAAACAGATTTTCATAAGGTATTTAAAAGTAGAGAGACCAATCTAGAAGTTTACAAACCAAAATACGATTTCAACCTTTCATTTTTAGGAAACACAACTTAAGAGCTAGATTTAATGTTTTGATTTGACTAGAGATTTTTTTAGTTCTAACCCAAAATATTGGTTTACAGGGAGGAAAAGGGTACGCACAAAACATAATATTCCAGAACATTGTGATGAACAATGTGAGCAACCCAATAATCATAGACCAAAACTACTGCGACCGGAAAGAACGATGCAAACAACAGGTAAAAAGCACTTCAGAAACCACCCAGTTAATTCATCACACGCCAAAGCTTCAATACAGGCTAAAATTTTCTCCTGAGCATTTTATCGAACACATGGCAGGCAGATGCAGTACAAGTGAGTAACGTGAAGTACCGTAACATCAGAGGCACGAGCGCTTCGGAAGTGGCGGTGAAATTCGATTGCAGCAAAAGCCTCCCATGTCAGGGAATTCTTCTGCAAGACGTGAATCTGGTCCACAGAGGCAAAGGAGACCACAAATCGGCCGAAGCCGAAGCTTCCTGTAAAAATGTCAAGTTGAAGAACAGAGGATCAGTCTCTCCACAGTGCGCCGGACGACGGCGATGAAGATGATGAAATTGGCGGACCCAATTTCGCAAATTCTTAATTGGGTCACTGTAAATTCAAATGATTTACACTTCATGGCAATTTGATCGAGCGAGTCCACGTTGATTTAGGGATTTGAATTAGTGGTTCGTTCTTCATAGTTGGGGGTTTCTTCTTCTTCTTTTTTTTATAATTTGATAATGTATAATGGGGTTATTAGTTGGGAATATTGTGACGATGATTATAGAAAATGATTGATAAAGCTTAAGCCATAGATTAATTGATTGTATTAATTGACAATAACTGAATAAAGTTGAAGCCCTAGGTTGATTGTATTTTAATAAATAAATAAAGTTGAAGCCATACATTAATTAATTTTCTTGTAAGTTGTGGGGTGAAGGTGCTGTTATTTTTCAAAGTTATTAATCATGCATTTAATTGAATGTAATGTTTACTAAAATAACTCTAAAAATTAAGTATAGTAATTCATGAAAAAATTAAGACAATACAACAAATGTTCGATATTCACACAATGAATATATACTTTGAGTGACTAGTGATATCATCTTTATATTGAATCAAAGCCCATTTCACATAAATTGCTTATAATGGACTCTTCAGTCTTCTGGCCCATAATGGTCAGGATGGATCGGCCCACGGAATTTTAAACGTGTTTATTTGTTGATGGGACATTCGAAAATGGAAATGAATACCCTCTCTTTCTCTCTCTCTTTTTCTTTTTCTTTTTTGGCTTTTACTTTCTGTTTGTTTGTGTTTTTTTTTTCTTTTTTTTCTCTTTTTTTGGCGAGATTGTGAGAAATGGCTCATTCTCTCTCTGTTTGTTTCTTTGCTAGAAAGGAGGGTGGAAACAAATAAGAGCTTGATTCTGTTTTCTTTTCTCCTTTTCACAACCTTTACCTTGAAAAGCAATTCCTTGACTCTGACCTCTTTTTGTCCATTGCACATTTATCTTGATTATGACTTTCAGTGCCTTTTTCTCGTTGCTCCTTTGTTTTGTTTGGGTGGTGCCAATTGCCAAATTGCCAATTCTACATTTTAAATCTGCAAAAGGAAAGAAAAAGATAAGGAAACAATATGATATCTAAATGAATATATCTATCTCTGTCCTCTCTCTCTCTCTCTCTCATGGGAAAGGGGTGGAGGGGATGAGAGAAGAATCTAGCTATGGCTCCCGCAGAACATGCTACAAAATCCTCAAGATCCCAATTCATTAAAATACATCAAATCCATCTTCATTCAATGCTTTTGATCAAGCTTCATTATGAAAGTAGCCCTTCTGCCCCTTTGCTGGTTTTGGTCTCCCAAACAAACATTTGGAACAAAAATTACAGTAAAAATTTCATTATTCTCTGCACAGCTTTCCCCTTTCAGAGACCAACAAATAAAGGGTTTCAATTCTGGAGGGCTTTCAACCATCTATTCCTTCTGCTTCTGTTGTTAAAAAAATCATCCTGATGATGGAATAATTGGTCTCAACAAATGGACAGATCAATAGACTGCAGGTAATATCAAGAGAGTACAGAGAGAGAGAATCAACCATGTGATGTTGGTGGTCTCTCAACAAATGGGCAGATCAATAACCTGCAAATATATTGGCAGTTCAAATCAAAAGAAAGAGAGAAAAGAGAGTCAACCATGTGTTGTTGGTTGGCCAAGTTGTTTTGTTTTAATAGTTTTAGCCATATTCAGTTCCATAAGAATCTCTCTGTCTCTCTTCCCTCTCTCTTTCTCTCTCTCTCTCTAATCTGTTTTCATTTGCAAAAGATTGTGAATACACAGAAACTATTACAAGATAACAAGAAATCAGGAAGGAAGTCCTTGACAAGATAACAAGGCCATGTATTGTTCGGAGCCTTCTGATGAAGAGTCAAACTGATGAACTATTAAACAAGAATATTGGTGTCAATCACATTGAAAAGAACAAAATATAATATCCAACAATATTGAAAGTGTTTCTAGGAGGTAAGCAAATAGCACATCCTTCACGTCATTCTACTAAAATAGGTTGGAGGGTTTGGATGTTTAACTGTACAAAGTAGGCGCTCTATTTAGCAATATGGGATGCCCCTGCATAGCTTCCTGAAGTATGTCCATAAGCGAGTTCTTTTTTCTGAATTTTACTCTTAACAACTTCGATGTACAATGCAAGATGTTGTTGAATCAGACCACGATTAAAAAAGTTTGGAAAAGTTTTATTGCAATTTCGCAAGGCAATCCACATTGATGTAATGAAAAATAGGGACCTACAACAATATAACATAATATCTTGAATAATTGACTCATTTGCTAAGCAAAGGCTCATGAAATCTTTCCTATCTGCCTTCAATTACATCAAAAACCAACTTGTAAACCTAATTATGGTCACCCCTAGTAGGTTGTCTGTGGATTCCATTATCAAGAAGGATATCCACGACTTCTAAGACCAATTTCTCTGGATACATATTACTAATTTTGTAAGCTTATTAGCTTACCCCATCTATCTGAATGATTCGTCTCAACTCGAGAGGAGAATTGGAAATAGACATAAAACCATCTATTTGGGTTCTTTATTTGTTCAAATAAAATACTTAGCTAAAATTCCAAAAATTTAACCAGAAAATCATTTCTTCTTCCAACTTTTTCGATGTTTCAGGTAGGTGTGGAGAGGGGAAGGGGGAGGGGCTGAGTTGGCTTAAGCGTGCTTCATGGGGTTCAAATCCCAATAATTGATGCAAATAATTATATTCACAACCACAAATTAAAAAGTTAAATCTGACCAAGTTATGTTGCTAATGGTCCATAAAAAAGTTAGCTTATTGTTTATTTTCATAGGTCTTAACAACCATTTATAATATATATTAGTGTTTTGTTGGTCATCCAATGACCATTTATGATTTATGCATATTAGGTGAATGACATAGAGTTCTTTATTTTAGAAGCAAAACATAGGTGAAATGACATAGTGCAAAGAAGTGTGAACTCCCCCTTTTAATCTTAATATATTCAACTGATTGAAAAGGTCAGATGAACCAGACCAAGATATAGGCAATAATAAATTTGGAAGGGAAAAAAAGGCTTAGACACCTAATATAAAAACATGAACCAATTGCATAATAAATGAATGATTCTCTCTTGATTTTCATATCTATTTAATAATACCATTGGTTTGATACTTTCCTTTGTTGAAACAAATACAATTGCTCTGAGGATTCAACAGACCTATATATAAAGCCAAGGTTAGAGAGCGTGGAATACTGAGTTGAGGCCCATCATGTAATAAGAGAGAGGGAGGGAGACAGAGAACAACAAAATGATAAAAGCAAAGTATTAGTCAGAGACAGATGAACAGAAAAGGGAAGAAGATGGGTGTGAGAATATTGCCTTGAATTTCACAAGGATTTAAAGAGTGAGCTGCTTCTTGTTGGTGTTGAGAAGATAAAAGGATGAGAGAATAGAGATGTGCTGCTCTTGTTGAAGCAGACAAAAGATTTTGTCTGAGTTATTTTTCTTTTTTTTTTTTAGCCCCCAAAATCAAAGGTTGTCTTCCAATTCTCTCTCTTCTATCTCTCTCTTTCTCTCTCTGTGGAGAATGGAGGGAACAGGATTGTCTTCAACAAGTGAACAGAAATTGGGAAGGTTCAAAAGGGTGTGTGTGTTCTGTGGCAGCAAAGCTGGATACAAGTCTACATATGCTGAAGCCACTATTGAGCTTGGTAAAATACTGGTAATATAGATATCAAACAATTGACCATATTATAAGTATAACTTACAAGCATCTATTCTAAATTTTTTTGCTCTTCTCATTGTTCCTCAAGTTGTAACATTTTCCCACAGAAGGTTGGAAGTCCTAAATTTTTCTTGGTGTATCAGGTTGAGAGAAAAATAAACCTGGTTTATGGGGGAGGAAGTGTGGGCTTAATGGGTTTGATCTCTCAAACTGTGTTTTCTGGAGGCTGCCATGTTCTTGGGTATGCTGCTGTCTTTGCTTCAAAACTTGTGGCTTTTATACAAATTTACATTTCTGTTTAAGGATAATGTTGTTGATTTTGTTGCCTTATTCATGATGTATGTATAGGGTAATTCCCAAGGCACTTCTGCCTCATGAGGTACCTTTTCTGCAAGTTTCCTTTCTTGGTCTTGTGGAATGTAAGGTGGTTTTTGGGTTAACTTAATGAAACGCCACTTGCAGATATCAGGAGAGACTGTAGGAGAAGTGAAAGCTGTGGCAGATATGCACCAAAGGAAGTCAGAAATGGCTAAACATGCTGATGCATTTGTAGCACTTCCAGGTAACAATAATAAATGTATGATTGATTATGTGTGTGGGTGCGTGTTTGTTTTGAAAAGGGCTTGTTTCATTTACATCACAAGCAGAAACTTGACACGTTTGATGAAAATACCAAAATCCATTGGACTAGGTGGCTATGGAACTATGGAAGAATTGCTAGAGATGATAACTTGGGCTCAGCTAGGAATTCATGACAAGCCAGTAAGACATGAATTTGAATTAACTTTCTAGAAAAGGAATAATGAATAACGAAAAACGACCATCATGGATTTTTCAGAACCTCCCATTCTTTATTTCCTTGATTTATTCACAATTTCAACAGTATTCTTGAAAACCAATAATAATTATAAAAATAAAATAAATAAAAAAGATGGTGAAATGTGATCAGAGTGGTTTTATTATTATCTTGACCTTGGAAAATGTGTAATCAGGTAGGACTGCTAAATGTAGATGGGTACTATGACAGCTTGCTTGCCTTATTTGATAAAGGAGTGGAGGAAGGTTTCATAGACAATTCAGCCAGGAATATAGTGGTAATGGCAAGCACTGCTGAGGAACTGATAAAGAAAATGGAGGTAGGAGGGGGGAAAAGAAGGTGCTTTGTTAGAGGTTGCTGAATTATTGGGGGAAAATGGAAATAAACAGATTTTTGCTTGAAAAATGCAAGAAAAGAAAGTGATWAGTCAATGTATTTGGTTTCATTTTGCAGGAGTATGTGGCTGTCCATGACAAGGTTGCACCCAGACAAAGATGGGAAGTGGACCAATTATCAGAGTCTACTCAAAGTGGGGAATCCATGAGATCTTAGATCTCACTCACCATCATGCCATTTGTATAAATATCTGGTGTTGTGTGCTCAAATTTAATCAAGGAGATTGCCAAAAGATAGACCGGATCTCTCTCTCTTTCTCTCCATCTATCTCACAAGATCCTCAATCTTGATCAATTATTTGTATATACTCAAAGCTGACCTGTATTAAATTCCATTAAAATCAATGGAATTGTAAGATCAATCTCTCTCCCTCTCTCTCTCTCATCAGGCCATTGACTATATTAAAAAGGCAAGGGAAAACAAACCCTACAAGGTGAATGGGACAAAATAGGGTGGCCAAAAGGAAAGGAAAGTGAAGAAGACATTTTTGTAGGGTAGGGATGCCCATTGTACCAATGGTGCAGCAAAATTCATTATTACATTTTGATGTGTGGATTGCAGAATTTTGGATTTTGGGTCTCACTGGGCTTCTGCGAGCTGGGACCCTCCCTGCAGAGTGACCCATTTGTTCCCTAGTGGCTTCTCTTCACCTCAGTTCCTTCGCATTAATATAATTATTAGACAATCTTTTCCTGCTTGATAGTGCTGTCAAAAACATATTATGTTCTAGAATTTATTATAAAGGTAGGCTGAAAAGTGTAATGAGAGTTTGTTCACCATCATTCTTGAAGGAAATTTGCAACTCCAACCACCTCTGAGGGACCCAAAACCAATAATTCTATCTGCTTTTAGCATTTAATGTTTTAAAATTGATGAACTCCTTTATAACAGTTATCAAGGAAGATACAGGGAGAGAGAGAGAGACTATTCCATAGTGGGCAAGAGTACTAGGACAAGGCCCTGCCTAGGTAGGACTGCAGGAAGGAATACTAATTTACTGAAACAAATTATTCATCTGAATATGCAATTTGATTTTAATAATTGTACTCTTAATAGATAGATTTTTTTAATTGTAACATAAAATYACTGAACTGAATAGACAAATCAAAACTATCTAAATAAATTACTCTTGAGGTCTAAATTGATAGGAAACATATCTGATATCCACCACCTTTTGTCAATCACTGAAGTAGTCTCCACATCTTTGATAATGCCGCTTGAAAATGAAAMATTGAGCGGAGGTGACAAAACTAACTGTTCAAATAATTCACTTGAGTTCTAAATGGAAGGATCCAAAATCCCATTTCATGATGTATTATGTTACAGCATTAATGGATATGATAACTTACATTTAGGCTAAATACAGATCCATACTCTTATAACTATAGAGCCTCCATCGTACATAACTGGTTTCCTACCATTGTACATCTATATAATATTCTAAAAGTAGGAAGAGAAATAAATACTGAAAGATTTGTATTAGAGAAGGTCATTAAAAGCACTTCCGATGAACGATTGAAGGCCCATTTTCATCATAGTCAGCCTTGGTTATATGCTGATTTTGGGGGAAGACAACCTTTGCAAGTATAGCACCTCCAATCCATGCTGAATACAAGGACAAATTCTCTGGCATGTATTCTGGAGCCTGCAAAAAGGAAAAGTAGTTACCCCCTTTTCAATCGAAGCAAACATCTCCAATTCCTTGCAGCAAAGACAACATGAATTCAGATTGTTGAGTAGAACAACCTCAAACATCAAAATTAGTTCCTACTGTTCTTTTAAGAATTATATTACCTTCACGAGAGCAGGACGAACAGCAGATGAACAGAGACTTGCTTCTTTCTGAAATCGTTCTTCAAATCCTGCAGAAGGTAACAAATTGCCAACCGTATAATGAATGATAAACAGGAAAAGCTTTCTTCAAGAATAATAAAACTATAAATACATGGCATGAACGGAGTTCAGTGCCCTCTCAAAGTAATGGTAAATTGTAAACAGAGTAGAAATACCGTCAAGTTCATTCTGTTCACATCATCAAGTTCATTATGTTCATTATATTTAATTAAAAAAAAAGGCTAATGCCCATCATCACTGCTTCATTCCAGACAGTATCAGCAGGTATTCCATGCCATTTACAGATTGACTGTCATGTAGGAGAGTAGTTTTGATATCACCCATCACTAGGTGGTAAACCAACAGTTCCCTTTAAATTTCAACATAGAAAGCTCTACATTTTACAAAATCTTAAAAAGACGCCCAAAAACTTCGTAGCATACTAATCAAAAGTTCTGAATGTCTAGTTTCTATATTTAATATTTAAGAGGCCGGAAAAAGAGAAAAATGATTGTCTATAAAAGGGAGGCAAAGCTAGTGTCAACAATTACCAGTCATTGAAGAAGTTCCTCCGCATAGAACAGTATTTTCCAATAGTTGCCGATGATTATCAGATGATACTGTTGAAATTGTCCGAACAAGCTGCTCAACAATTCCATGTGTGTCCAAACCCAAAATTTGTGGCTGGAATAATGCCTCACCAACAGTATATCTTTCCCTTCCAATTGTTATTACCTAAAATCAATGACCAAACATTATATAGAGAGGTCTAAATTCAAAGATTATTAGAGCAACAAGTGCATGTAGCTGATTAAGTGTTTCAAAATCATGTACGTACTCAATTCAAATGCTTGGTTATTATTATTATTATTTTTATGATATTCGTGGGTCCGGGCCAGCTTGCGCGCATCTCGACTATTCACGGGCCAACCACCTGATCCTACTACATTTGGTTGACAAGGAAACTCGTAGGATATTAAATCCTAGGTAGGTGGCCACCAGAGTTTGAAATGCTTGGTTATTATGAAATCCAAATATTCATCTATGAACTTCATTTAAGAGCAAAATGGGCATGCACTTAAAGGGTTCACACAAAGAATTATTCATTGCATCTCAAGCCAGGTACAAAATGGGCATGCACTTAAAGGGTTCAGACAAAGAATTATTCATTGCATCTCAAGCCGGGCATGCACTTAAAGGGTTCAGACAAAGAATTATTCATTGCATCTCAAGCCAGGCACGAGAAGCAACAATAGAAGGTAATCAGGCAAAATGTAAAACAATTAGTTGCAACCAAATGATAGAAGCAACATCAGAAGAGAAAGGAGGGATCGATGATTTGAAATAAATGTGAAATTCCCCTGTTTTTCAATAAATTCTTGCTTGAGTCGCCATCTTCATGCTCCTCATTATATCCAAGCAGTAAGTCTTTTATTTTTTTTTTATATCCGTGTGTCCGGGCCAACTTGTGCACACCTCCACTTATCACGGGCCAACTGCCTTACCCTACTACATTTGGTTGACAAGGTAACTCGTAGGATATTAAATCCTAGGTAGGTGGCCACCATGGTTTAAACCCATTCCCTCTAAGCCCTTTACTATTTAGGTTTAAACTCATTCCCTCTAAGCCCTTTACTATTTACAATGGCCCTTATTGACCACTAGACCATTCCATGAAATTTAATTATTAGGTCACACTTTCTTAGAATTCACATGGTACTTGTGAGATTGAATCTGCTGACTTGATTGGAACGGTGCCAAGTAAGTCTACAACATTTAGGTTTGAACAGGCTTAAAGTTATAATTACTATAATCGATAAATGAAAATTTATAGCCTAGGTTAAAACATAAATATTAGTGTTTCTATATAATAAAGTTTCTATATAGGCTTTGGCTTATCTGGCTTTGGCTTACGTTAGAACAGGCTTAAAGTTATAATTACTGTAAACCATAGATGAAAATTTTATGGCCCAGGTTAAAACATAATATCAGTGTGTGCATAGATCAGTCCAACAACTCTCTAAGCTTTATAGTCTCATTGCCACATAAGCCGAAGCCTATCTAGAAATTTTATTTCATTTGTTTTCACAAGATGTTGCAAGTTGCAACACATCTCAGCATACACATGCCTAATAAGCCGAAGCCTGCATAGAAATTTTACTTCATTTTTCTTAATAAGATGTTGTGACTTTCAACAGAGCTCATGATACACACATTGATATTCAGTTGTACACAGCACGCTGCCCCCTCTTTTGCTTTCCAATGGTCAATAAATGGTCATGGTTCATCAGAGTCGTGAAATTTTTTAACCAACTCCATCCTCCAACTCTCTTGGTTACCAACTTTTCCACCCCAAATAAAATCAGCTCAACAACCAGTTACTTGATAGCACATGCACAGAAAGAGAGTTAAGAACATTTGAAGGAAAGAAGCAGTCCTCCGCGGCTCGTCTTGACATCGCTAGATTTAAAGCTTCTCAATGGAGCTCTCTTTCTCCTTTATTTAAATCTTATTCCCCTAGTCTGATTTGCTCAAATTTGAATGTTTTTATGGCAGTGTTTTAAGCTTTAAGTTTATTTTATGTTTCATTTCAATTTTCACTCTTTCGAGAGTTTGTATCCTTGAACAATTTTGTCCCTTTTCATTATCTTAATGAGAAGTTCATATCTTGTTCCAAAAAGAAAAAAGAAAAAAGAAAGAAAGAGAGTTAAGCATTATGACAACGAGGAGTCAAGAAAGCTCTATGCAAAATAATGTAACGATAAACACATCCTTGGGTCACGTCAAGTAAAACAACAATATATTAAGGTGTAAATCCAAATACAAACCTGCCCATCAGGAAGGGTGTGTGTCTCAAGCTGACATGAAGCACCAATTTTTGAATAAGCCAACTCATCTTCAGCACAACAAGCATACAATTCTTTAATTTTCTCAACATCAGCTGTGGTGATATTCACCATTGGATGGGATTTTCCTAGTTCTTGGGCAAGCAACCTTGTCAAGTCAATGCCTCCAATTTCAAGTCTTCGTGAAGCAATGTGATGAACAGCACCTTCAATTACTGGTGCAATATCTGGTAATGAAGTCAAAAGGCAGTATAGAACAAAACAAGAATTATGCTTCTTGCATTAGGAGCTTGAAATGGAATTAGAAAAGCATTAGAGATGATCATCTAAACCAAATCTTGAGACCTTCGAGGAAAGGTAGAATAAAGTTGCTCAGTGATGTATAACATTTCATACGGGTGCCTCTTAAGATGGCTCTTGCTGATTTTCATCGGGAATAATAAAGAACGGGACAAGTCCAAGATGATGAGCCAGTACAATGGTTAGAGTAACTTGAGATTCTGCTGCAAGGCTAAGGATATAACAACACAAGGCTACTTCTTACCAGTTCATTATTACACTCGTGTAGTAAAATACTAAAATGATCAATGCCTTACAATTTTTTATTTGAGCATTCTCACAGGTCATACCCTGTTTATATAACACGTAACTATTAGAGTAACTGGTAAAACATTAAATTTTCTGTTTGCATGGACACAAAACAACTGAACCAACTAATTCAAACTAGCCAATGTTTGTTAGTTATAATTTTACTTAAAAAATTAATGTATGATCTCTATCTTTATATCCTTAAATCTAAGAAACAAATCAATACCTTGTTTGTATATTGTAGAAAATGAATTTGGATATACATAGGCAAAACTACTTGTTGAAAACAGCAAGGATATGAATTCCACAAAGTTGATAAAAATATTGTCAAAATACAGGCCACGAGCTTTAGTAAAGGTTTGTGCAGATGTGGTGTACCTATTTTCCCATGACCAATATCAACGGTGCATCCTGATATACGCCCTACCGCATAAAGTGATAATACAGCTTGTTCAGATGCATAAAATCCTGAGATGTTGAATGTCTCAAACATCAATTGCACCAACTGTTCTCTGATAGCCTGTAAAATAGAATACCTCTCATTTTCTTTGAAGAGAAGAAAACATATGCCGATATGCGCATGTATGTATTTATTTCAAAGTACAGGATAACTCCAAGGAGTTGCAAATATTTTTCTTCCAATTAGGACCCTTTCTTCACCACCCTCACAGAGATGGTCTAGAGTCCCATAACTATTCTTGCTATATAACACTTACCAATTGCTTTAGTTGGGTCCTCTAGAACCATAAGAATCCTAGTGGGATTAAAATTCACTACCCAATAAGATTTTGTGAGAAGTCCTCTTTGAAGAGTATAGTACCATGAAAGTTGTAAGCTATGTTCAAGTGGAAGCTATTGTCTATTGTTGGCCTCTATGGTAGATCAATCATAGGCCTTGAGAGGTGGTAGTTTTCTTCACCCAAAAACAAAATCATTCGGGAAACTTGAATCAACAATGAATGCACAATAAAATCAGGTTAGAACTACAATCGATGTTGCACAATTTAGTAGGTTAGAAGTATTTGACAAAGGTATCATCTAGCGTACAACGCTGTCTGTAGAAAAATAACCTATTGAAATTTCCAGCAAAAACATATATTTTTCAATGCGTAGGATCAGCAGAAAGCAGAGCTTATTGATTCCCAATGAAATGAATACCATTGTTTACTTGCGTATAATGAGTAATGAGCTTAACTGACCTTGGGGGTAGAAAGTGGATCCGTGAACAATATCTGTCCTTCATTGCCAATTTCCCATCCAAGTCCAGTATATAGAACATGGTGCAATAAGTCCTCCATAGCATCCCAATCCTTTATGAACCCCCGAACAACTGGATCAACAGTCACATCCTCAAATGGTGAATTATCAGTAACTGATCCATCCTCAGGCATGCGTTTCATGTGGGTAGGAATTATCTGAGTCACGTGGACAGAAATTAAGAAGAATTAAGAGAAAAACCCTTCAACCAAAACCCTTTTTCCAAGTAGCAAATCATTTCCACACAAGTACCAGTATTGGAAACTTTACACTTAACTACACTCAGCTCAAAACTTCCCTAACCTAACCGATAACCAAATCGCAGAAACTCGGCTCTAATTCAAAACAACCTTCCTACACCATTCCACTAGCCTCTTAGAGACAAATCTTTCAGAAGAAATTTCTTCGGGAAAAGGGTCGTCGACCACTGAAGTGCGGAACTGGCATTAAACTATTCACAGCGTTGGAATACAATCCCAAGCAGATAAAAAGGAAAAACAAAAACCAGTAGAAGGAAAGTACCATAGAGGGAGCCTGATCCGGCATGGCAAGCCCGGCTTTGAGAAGCTTGGAGCCAGGGTCGACCACCGCGGCGTCCATTTGCTTCTTCCTTTCTTCAGACGAAATCAGAAGAATTCAGGGTTTCGATATTTTCCGGTGACTCGCTGCGGGAAAGCTCCGAGATGCGGCCTAGACTCCGCAGGAAAGCGGCATTTCAATTCTCCATAATCAGTCCGCCGTCGAAAGTTTATTGGTCTTTCTCTTGTTTCGCGGTTTGAACCATTTTTGTGTCCTTATTTTCAAATTATAGGAGAATTATCTTTTAATAAATTTCAAATATAATCAAAAGTATATTTTAATTTATTCAAAAAAGAAAGAACTTAAAAAATATATAATTTTGCTCTATATATATATACTAGTGTATTATCACGTGCATTGCACGTAAAAAATTTTTTAATTATAAGGTAAATTAAATTTTATATAATTTCACGTAAAATATTTTAAGTATAATTATTTTTAAAAATAATTAAGATTAATTTTTATATATATTTATTATTATTGACAGCTAATTACTAATAATATAATTAATTGTTAATGATATATTTTGTAAATAAATAAATTAAAAGATAAAAAAGTAAATAGGTATTTTAATATTTTTATTTTTAAATTATTTCAATCTAATATGGGTCCTTTGTTTTATTTTTTTAATATTTTGTTTGTTTATTAAATATTTGTTTAGAGCTGGCATTTTGTTATATATGTTGAATTTTTTAATTAAATATAAATTATTTTATTGATTTAATTTTATATTATAATTAAAATTATTAAAGAAAAATTCTTCAAATTATATTATTAGAAAATAAAATGWCCAAAAGTTTATATTCCACCTTTTAAGATTCTATACAAATTATTGTTTATAATTAATTTATTAATTAAACATTTTTTTATGTATTGACTTCTATGATTGTTTTTTTTTTCAACTAATTATCTATATTTTAAACAAATATTCTAAATAAAATTGCTCAAAAAATAAACATTCCAAATAAAAAACACACTAATTAGAAAAATAACAATAGTAACAAAAAAAAATCCAAATACTTACTATACACTCATCTTTTAGAGTAAATATGCTCATTCTTGAAGATTGCTTGACATATACTATTATTCAACTTTGTAAAATTTAAAATTGTGGAATGGTAATGTCACAAACCTAGTATTCGAGATATGTAGATTCAACATATGTCTCCCTTGCAACTTGATGAATATGTCACAAATATCTCGAGACGTTTTCATGATTGAATCATCTTTGAGAGATGTTTGAAGTAACTAAGAATAAAAAAGTATTGAAACTTGTGAAAAACATGTAGAAGAAAGCCTATTTTTATAGTAGTAGAGGATAAAACGTTACAAAAGCCTTTCAAATTCTAAAACTCTTGAAATTCTAGTATGAATTTTAATTAAAGAAAAAATTAATTTTATGTTGTTGGAAAACTTTTTGCATTTTAACCTTTTATATTCCATGCATTTATAGTATGGATAATTAATAATTAATAGTTAATTTAATATTTGTAATAATATATTAATGGTATAATTTGTAATTTGTAAATTTAGTAAAGGGTAAAAGTGTCCAAAAATGTTTTTCCTACATCCTACCTTTTTAATATAGTATATATATATATATATATATACACACATTTAGATCCCTGAAGTATTCAATTTATTCTATTTTGATTACGAATCTTTTGTAATATTTTGTTTAAATTGGAAAGGAAATTGATAGTATAATGACAGAATAATAGAAAAGACCTAGATGGATAATTTTATAAGTTTTGAGAACTAAAACAAATATTTAAAAATTTCAAAGACCTAAATTGAATAAACTTAAGCTTTATTAGCTAGAATGAAATTTAAACCATAATAATAACTTGAAAAGAAAAAAAAAACACCAATTCATGAGTATATTTCAAGTTTTTTTCAGCCTTTTCTCATATTTGAATGTTCGAGTTCTCCCCTACATTTTATATAAATGCTATATTATTTAACATAAAGGTAAATAATTAAAAAAAACATCTTTTAAGTATGAAAATTAGCAGTTAAACCAGAACTTTTAAAATATAAAGACAAAAAAATTTGCCAACATGAGCGTCTTTTAAGTCATATATCATCCACTGCATATAACTAATCGACATCATGGTTAGAACTCAAAAAAAAAAAAGGAAAAAACAAACAAAACAAAAGAAAATAGGAAAAAAGACTAAAATTATGTAATGGCTACAAAAGATTTACATACAAAATACACATCCATCATAAGAAAATAGACCAAAAGTTAATCATATAAGACTCGAGATTATTGTATTATTATTGCCGTAATCCTGCATATTTTCGCCATCAGCAATCAGAGGCTCGCCCATAATGGTACAGTAATTCATATCAAGCGATATGGCGCCATTTCTTGAGGTACTATTCTCCTGGTTCTCTTCTTCCTCAACCAAAATAAGCTCGGATTGCTCACCAATGGGAGTAGCATCATCACTTTCCTCGACACAAGGAGCTCCATAATTCAATTCCGCCATGTCCCCGAGAAGGACCTTGAGGGTATCGTCGCAACTCGAATCTGCAATGGAGATAAAGCTCACATCCAGGATTGGAATCTCAAAATCCACAATGGATGTTTTGCGAGAAAATCCAAGAACATCGTGGACTATGTCTATGTCACAATCTTCTTTTGTAAACTCCATGGCATCGGCATCAGTGTCATCGGGTCCATTTTCGGGATGACGGTGAAGGGGGTGGATTGGAGTACCACTCGTCTCTGGAAAACAATCTTCACTTGTGCTAATACTAACTTCCTCGTCTCCGATCTCCTCCTTCCCTTTCGAAGCAACTCCAACATCACCATCCACACTCTGATACTTGCAATCTCTGTCAGAAGAATGATCTTGCCTAGAAGGGCTTGAGTTCTCACCGTTGGCAGAAGACAGAGAAGCTGAAGCAGAATTCATAGTACATTGTATGCTATCAGTTTCTTGGGAACAGCTTATATGATCTATTTCGGTTTCAGACAGATCACTTGAAGAAGCTTTCCGGTTATTGTTCCTATCTTCATTTAAAAACTCTGCAGGGATAACAGCTGCAGGTTTTGTATATTCTGGGGTCGTGATTGAAGATGATGATAACACGAACTGAGCGAGAGCAGATGCCAATACATCATCAATTGATGGCTTTGGTTTACTCGTTGGAGATTCAATTGCAACCTCTGGCACTTGAAGCTCCTGATCATCATCATCACCGTTTGAGAACTCAGGAGCAGTTACTACAAAACTCGGGTGCAACAAGGAAGAATCCACCGAGTTCGATATATCAAGTGCGATGGGTGATGCACCTGAATGAAGCTCCTTTCGATCCGGTTCAATTGGTTCACTACTGGGATGATCGTTCCCACTGTTGTAAAAGGAGTTAGAACCTGATTCATTAGCCGAAAAGCTAGGAGCAGACATTCGGTAGCCAGATGGCCATTCTGAACCATGTGACTCCTTACTTAAAACTTCAAGCTGCTGCTCAACCTGCTTCAGTCTCCCTTCAATGCTGTTAATGGGTTTTAGCATATTTTCTTCAAACCTCAAAAAGCAATTCTCTATTCTATCCATTCGACAAACAAGCTGATTCAAGACACTTTCGATACGATTAAGTGGTTCGTCATATGTCCTCTCTTTAGCAGGAACTTGTAGAGGCACCTCAGACTGACGTACAGATCTATCAGACTCATTTTTTTCTTGCAATTTCACTACATCATCAGCGGTTGCACAAGATTTCCCTTCCTGCTGAAGTCCAGTTACACTACTGGTCGAATCAAGAGCTTTTGACCCAATCTCAGGTAACGTACGCATTCCCTCCACATTAGAATTATGCCCATCTTCGATCTTAATAATGCCAGTAGTTTTAGATAACTGCAGAAGGGTTGGGACAAGCATGGACATCAAAGAACTTTGAGAACTTTGAGTTGAGTTCTCCACTGGGCCCTCTTCTTCAGAATCGACAGGATTGGCAAACACGTAGACCTCATCAACATATACAATACTTTTATTCTGAAGAGAAAGAAGACGGATTGTAAGAGATGTGCAAGGAGTTGCATCTGCTATTTCTGCTGTAGCCTCATAGAAGTCCTGGGAATAAAAATTCTTCCATTAGTGAAAAATTACTAAAGACAGATTTATTCAGACTACTAAGTAGATTAAACACCTGTTCAAAATTTCTGTCCCTACTAATCTTCAGTTTGAATCTTCCTTTCATTAGTAGATTTCTTCCATAAAGATGTATATATTTAGATATCCTAACCTTTTCCTACTATTTTGCAATTTAAACCTTCGTTTCCATGCCATAACTCATCCATGTACTGATGTACACAATTAGTTTCCTCACCACACAGTAGTCACTGATCAGAACTAAAGTCAGTCCACGTCAATGAGAAAATTAATAGATGAAATTCAACTAAAAAGAAAGATGTTTCAAATATCACCAAGCACTGACATTCCGATACGTGGTGACATCCCTTCCGGGACTTAAGTGACTTACTAAATGTAGGAGCTAATGGCACATTCTTATACAAATATTTTGGTCATCTACATTATTGTCTTCAAATAAAATATTTCAATTCAACCACCATAAATTATCCCAGTAATCAGAGGGAAAATGTTACAAGGTCAACTATTGTCAATTGATACTAGTCCAAGTTTGCACGGGTAAGCCCAACATCTCACATCCATCCGTATTAGAAATTCATTTTCAAACTTACGTAGGAAAAGAGTATACTGGGAATCTCAAGGAAAGAACATCACTCGTGATGAAAATAAAATAAATTAGTGAAAGGATAGAATGAGCTTTTAGTCAACAAAATATTGGTGAGGTCAATGTACCACACCTGCTTAATCCTCACTGAGTCTCCACCAGACTTGGATGGAGAAGAACTGTTTTTATGATCAAGGGCTGGGGCACTGGGGGCTTTAACTTCAATCCAGTCATCTTCATTTGTGTTCAAATTACTGCCACGTTGTGAATTTGCTTCAGCCACATCTCCATTAGGCCCATCTGTATGTGCAGACACAGCTTCAGTACCATTCGTGTGAAGCACTTCTTCATCTCTCATAGCAGCACCACAACGAACAGTACAAAAATATTCATTTTCGCTCTGAGAATTGGTAGTGTAGTACATCTCATAGACTCGAGCAGTGCTTCGAACATAAACCTGCCGGATCTCATGCTTTTCCGCAAAATTAACTGCAGACCATGATCTTTAGTTACGCTTTCAAGAGTCATCACTGAAAGTCTGAGATGCTCGACGCAATATGGCCAACTCATAGTTTACTTAAAAGATGAGAGCAAACAAACGGGAAAAGAACTGACAAAGCTAGCATATCTCCGTTACATAATCAACTCCAAAAATAATCCACAGCTAAGTGACTTAAGCTGAACGGTGACCCGAGGAACAAGAAATAGTTAATTCAACTGCCAGTAGCCAGAAATTGTAATAACATACCGGAGATCATCAACCACTGAGATCATTATTCCCGTGTTTAATAATCAAATCAAATCAGATAGCTCTTTAAGCCACCACTAAAACTAATATTGTCTGATAATCGCCGACTTTCAACTTTAGGAGCCCTAACTCGAAGATTATCCATTGGTTGTCACTTTCTTTCTAAGAAAACAGAAGGTAAAACAACCTAAATGAATGAAAAAAAAAAAAACGAATCATGTTATAATGCAAAAACCCTTGCATCTTTCCAAGAGCCTAATTTGTTCGGAAATTTTTCGTCTAGTCTCCATATCACATCAAACACTAGAAATCACTCAAACAAAGTAGAAAACCAAACAAGCAGAGGAAAGCGAGGAATTCGGAACTCACGAGTGATCTCGCATGGAGTAGACTCCGGTGAGGGACGGCGCAGAACAAGAGGGAACTTGGGGCTGGAATCGACCGCGCCTTCATCGTTGATCGGAGAGTAGAAGGATTCATAAGCGACCGTATTCTCTAAGCAGCCACCGACGACCGTCCAATTGGCGGCGGAGCTCCATGAAGGACCGCCGCCAATGTCGCCGTCGTTCTGTGAACCCATCACAGAATCTTTTACCGATGGCTTCAGCGGAGAGAGGAATTGAGATTTTAGTACGTAATTATCAAGCAGACCCTCTCGTTTATGGATTTATCTTTTTTTATTATTATTTCGCGATCAAATAAATGCTATTTTCATCTGGCACCTAAAAAATATGAATATCAATATATCATATACAAAATAAGAGATGAATATATCAATTTGAGCTATATCAGTGGATGTTTTAAGATTAAAAAATAATTTTAGTCATTCTACTTTCGTTGAAATAACAATTTAGTCTCTGTAATTTTAAATCGGTAATAGTTTAGTCATTGAATTTTAATATGTAACAATTTAGTTATTATAATTTAAAGTTGATAACGATTTAGTCCTTATCGTGATTTTTTTTTTTAAGTTTCTTGTATGCATAGATTGATAAATTGAGGAGAGACCAACAAAAATTTTAGACTAAATTGCTACAAATTTTAAACTACAGTGACTAAATCGTTACAAGTTAAAGTTCATGGACTAAATTGTTACTTTGGGGAAAGTACAATGACTAAATCGTTAAAAACTTAAGTTCATGAACTAAATTGTTACTTTAATGAGAGTATAGAGACCAAATGTGTTTTTTAATCATCTTTTAAAATTTGTATTTCAAAATTACTTTATTTTAAATATAGTTTTTTTAATACAATAAATGAGATGGGAATTGAACTCACAACCTTAGATATATGTCAATTAATATTGAGCTATGCTCGCTTTTGACTTATTTGAAAGAGAGTTATTAATGTTAAATGTACAAATTTTAATATCATTTCTATTTTGATATTTAAATTTGTAAATATTATATCGTAGTCCATTCTTTTTAATAACAAATCATTTGGAGTCTTTTCGTCAAATTTAAATAAATTAGGCAACAAAATCTTTTTTTTGAGACATGCAACAAAATCTTAATTGTACATATCTTTTGTTACCTCATTAATAAACTTACTATTAGAAGTCATATATTAGATTACAAATCAACTTTAATACAATTCAACGCGATTGCAACACTAACATGCTTGAAAGTTAGAATCTTCACAATATTTGAAAAAAAAAAAAAATTGGAAGTTTAAGGCACAATACGTAACGCGTCCTGTTTTTTCGTTTTCAATTTGATTAAAAAAATTCAAGCATATAGTAACTATTTATGTTTATTCTTTAGAAACATCCTCGAAATTCTATAGAAATTTTAGAAGAAACAAAAAAAAATCTTATTTTTTATTTATGTTTTCAATTTTTTTCAAAACATACAAAAAAAATATATATTTTATCATTATTAAATTCATAAGCATGGGACCAAAGAGTTCTATTTTTATTTATAGAAATTGAGGAAAGAGAAACATTGTCAAACTAAAAAAAATTGTAAGAGTTGTATTAAATATTTTACCGCAATGATCAATTTAAATTATTTTTTCCAAAATGATGATAATTAAGTTTGGGCTTTTTTTAAGGTTGAGAACTGAGAGAGCCCAAATAAGAAACAGATTTAGCAGAAGGAATATTTGTGGCGGAAAAATAACTAACAAAACCGGCTCTCTCTCTCTCTCTCACCAAAGCTTATCTTACGGGGAGAGCTCCTCTTCCATGGCGACCTTAAGCTTCAACCCCGCCAGAATCAGAACCCCAGCTCTTCACATTCGCAAACTCAACCCCAGCTCGTCGCCATCTTCACAGCCGATCAAAACCGCGAACAGATTCCCGCCCAATTGCCGTATCAATCAACAACAACTACGTCGTTTTCTATCGAATTCTGTATCGGAAAGCTCGGTTTCGGCGCCGGAAGAGGTGGAAGTTGACGAGGAAGAGGATGACCCGACCTTGGAGTTGGCCTATTTGGATCCTGATACCGATACGGAGAGCATTACGGAGTGGGAACTCGACTTCTGCTCCAGACCTATTTTGGATATCAGAGGGAAGAAGGTGTGGGAGCTTGTAGCGTGTGATAATTCCCTCTCGCTTCAGTACACGAAGTATTTTCCGAACAATGTTATTAACAGTATTACTTTGAGGGACGCGATTGCGTCGATCAGTGAAGAGTTAGGGGTTCCATTACCGGAGAAAATCCGCTTCTTCAGGTAAATTTTCTGATTGCTCAAGCACATTTTGATGGAAATGGTAAAATGCTGTTGTGTTTATGCATTTGAACTCTGAAAAGTGTATGAGATTATAAGCGAAATATCCTACGAGTAGTTTTAGCGATTTCTTAAATAATGGTGTGTTAATATAATTGAAATGTTGATGGGGTTATAGGTCACAGATGCAGACAATCATTACAAAAGCATGCACCGAGCTTGGCATAAAGCCCATTCCTAGTAAAAGGGTTGGTAGTTATGAATTTATAGGTGTTTTCTTCGATTCTGTTTCTTAGTGAAGTCGTTTGGATTTGGATTATGAATAAGACTGTGTCTGTGCTCAAAGAGTTTTCATTGTTCTATCAGTGCCTTTCCCTGCTTTTGTGGCTTGAAGAGCGGTACGAGACGGTTTATACGCGTCATCCAGGATTTCAGAAAGGATCTAAGCCCCTCCTTGCATTAGACAATCCATTTCCAATGGAACTTCCAGAAAATCTTTTTGGGGAGAGGTGGGCATTTGTCCAATTGCCCTTTTCAGGTATACCAATAGCTTTCTTCTCTGTTTTGTATTGACCCTAAACATGGCTGAAGAGTTACTGTTACTGCCTTACCAAGGGAAGTTGCTTTCTTGTTCTTATAGTTTTTCCAATATTTAGTATTCCTCTTCTACATTCTCAGTTGTTCAAGAGGAAGTCTCAAACTTAAAGGCAACTTTTATGTTCGGTTCCAGTCTTGATCTGGATTTACTGGGGATCGAAATCGACAATAAGACAATGATTCCAGGGTTGTCTGTTGCATCTTCACGAGCTCAACCACTGGCAGGTATACGACCACTCTATAATCAGTGAGAGTTATGATGTTTTCGAACACAATAAACTCATTATCTCTCTAATTTCGATTTCCCAAGTCTACTATATTGTTCTTCTCAAAGATTTTATATGCCTATCATCCTATCGTCCTATGATTTTGTAATGTAAGAAATCTCACCGTGCAGTACGATGGCTATAAAGAATCTGCCAATTGATCTCTTTTTTTGTATTCCACAGCTTGGATGAATGGAATGGAAGTCTATTCAGTCGAAGCTGATACATCTCGCTCTAGTTTGATTCTATCAGTCGGGATCTCAACCCGTTATGTCTATGCAACCTATAAAAAAACTCCAGTAGCAACTGCTGAAGCTGAAGCCTGGGAAGCAGCAAAAAAGGCTTGTGGAGGGTTGCATTTTCTTGCCATACAAGATGACTTGGACTCAGAGGACTGTGTTGGATTCTGGCTTCTACTAGACTTGCCGCCGCCGCCAGTATAATCAGTGAAGTACTTTTAATTTTTCTCATTTTAAGAAGGTAGGTAGTCGTATAAAGCATGCTAAATTTTGTAACTTCATTTCATTGTTGTACAAACACTGCATAATACAGGATGTGGTTTCCTTTTGGAAGATGAGACTATTGACCAAAGTCTTGAAGCTTGAGAAATGAACTAAAAAATGGAATACATTTTAGACACTGCAAAACTTGTACATCTCAAAATCCATATTAAGAGACCTACTGAGAAAAGTGAAGAATCCCTTTTTAAGTCACTGCTTCTTCATCATAGAATTTTGCTGTCTTGGACAAAGGCATCCAAGGATAAGTTTATCCTGCAAAAATCAAGCAAAAATGTTATCTCATAACATATCAGGTACAAACATATCGGCCGATCCAGGCATAGCTCGATAGATTAGCCACCTATTATCTTCTATAACATTGAACATTCGATCGCTGCTCGGACATTTTTTTAATGAGCTTGATTTTTGCGTTTGCCCAAGAGAAATCCTCGGCGTAGAGATGGTGGGAGGTTGTCCCTTTCTTTTAACAAAGAAACACAACTTTTTTCTTTGACAGAACAAGAAAACATAATTTCTGATCTATTAAGATACAGTCTGAAAGCCTTGCATATTATAACCGATTACATATATTTTTCTTTTTAGAGAAGCATGGATTTAGATTTCAAATAATAAAAATGGCATTTTCTAACTTCATAAAAAATAAAAAATTCTACTACTTTCATTGAACAAGAGTTCTACCCAACAACAATAACAACCCAAATGGCCATTTAGGCCGACTGTCCATTCCCTATTCTATCACAATGGTATCCTAAAATTAAAATTTTATAATTTTACCAAAATGGCAGAGCTTTAAAGAACTACAAGGAAACTGAATACTCTGCCTCCTATCCCAGTTCTTCAAAGGGATTACAGGATCTGCCTCCATGAAATGCTCAGAGTAAAAAATCAGCTTCCACACAAGCAACCAGAGAGCCACTGATTGCCTTTCCTCCTTCAAGTCCTCGAAAGAATCATCTCCATATACATTGCATATACACTGGAGAAGAAAATCCCACACGATATAATTAGAGGGACTAGCTTCAGCCATCACGATTTTGATCTCTTTTGCTTATGAGGAACAAGGCGGATTCCTTGCTTGCCAAGTTCCAACGTTTTTACTCTACCATCGTCTAGGGTGACCGATAATGTCGATGTGCCATCAATCATGTCGGAAACCACTCCTTTCTGCCTGAACAACACATGATATGCAATATAACATATTAGTGATGCAGAATATTTACCTCAATTCAGAACAGAGTAATGAAGCCAAATTTTAGTTCTTAAAATGGAAGTAGAAACCAAGCCACATCTTCAACTGCCATCTATATTGAACAAGTTCTTTCATTTTTTTTTTTTCTTTTTCTATCCTTTGATAATGCGAACAAAGAAAGAAAGCAAAAATTGGAAATTTGGAACTTCTAAAATATTCAAACTGTATAGGGAGTTAGAGAAAAAAGACCTTTACAAGCGTTATATTCATAAGAATCGTCTTAAAAGAATTAAACATATACCAATAATGTCTAACAGATGTTTGCTACATAAGCCAAGCAAACAAATACGACTTGATCGTTTAGAATGGTAAATGTTGGCCAATGCCAACAAATTCCTTTAGTTATTCCAAGTGTATTAGAGAGAGAGAGAGATAAAACTCACCATGACTTGTCTGATGGGTGTTGGACTTCAACCCTCTTTCCCACTGCATCTTTACCCAATTTTTTGAGAATCCAATTAGCATCCATGATCTCGTCCAATAAATTATCTTTATGAGAGCGTGACAAGTCTTCAACTTCATTGAAGGATATTTTATCCATTAAAGGTGATGGTCTTTTCCTTTTGGACCTCTGGCCTTTGACAAAACTTTTCTCTTCCTCATGACAAGAAATTTGATTTTCAAGGGTAGGTTTCTTAAATTTGAACTTCAACAAGGGTTTTGAGTCTCTGGGCAAAGACTGTGGTAAATGTGTCTGACCATTATCATCATGTCCATCACTGCATATATGTGATCCACTTTCATGTTGCTTTCCCAAAAGTACCTTCTCTTCTTTTATTTTGGAAACTTCACTGAGAGAACCAACAACAGCTGTGCTTCCTTCCACATTTCTTTTTCGAGAAAATACACGAGTTCCATCCGGGGGACCAACTTCAGATCCACTAGCAGCATTTCCTCTGCCAAATGCAGGATTTGTGTCAGAAGCTCCAATTCTGACTTTTCCAAAACTTTGGCTCTTCTCTGTTTCCCCAGCCTTCAGTCCTGTTGATTGGCTGGAGTTATCCACCTTTTCCCCTGCACAAAGAAGAGAACTACAAATTAGGTCTTGAATAGTAGAATCTAGAAGAAGAGAACGATACAATTTCAATAACAGCCCCTCATCATCTTCAACGCAAACACACCATTTAAGCATACGAAGTCTTTCTAGAAACCATACCATTTGAGGTAATCATATCTTGTTCTCTTTGACAGCTTGAAGCATCAGACTTCGGGGAATTAGCAACATTAATCTTCCGTGCACCTAGATTAATAACTAGCTTCTTTCCTTTTGCAGTCTTTGACTTACTGGCATATTTTCCTGTATCTTCTCCAGTATCCAAACCCTGAGCCTTGCTGGCCTTGATTTGAACAACTTTTGATGACCTTTCTTCTTCGCTTACCATCACCTCGTCAACAAACTTGTGTTTCAAGACCCCTGGTTGATTAATAGAGCACATTCCTTCATTGTGGCCAAGACTCCCGGCAACAGGAGAAGAATATGTGTCTGCTCCTTCATTATTATTCTGGTGTTGCAAACCACCATTCTTCTCATTACCTTCACCAAATTCATGTTGTTGAAGATCATTACGCCCTTCAGAACTCTGATCTAGTTCAGATTGATTGACCAAAGGAGTCTGGGAGGCTTTTTCCTTGGCATACTTCTTATTCGATGATTTTTTCGCATAATCCTTGCTCTTCTTGGGCACTTTGTCAACTAACCCTTTCAGAGAAAGTTTTAATGAACGTCCAAACTCATTCTTAATAACTGCAGGACCATTTTCTTCATCGTCCGAATAGGGTGAAATGGAAAATATCTCTTCTTGAGTTGGTAATCCAGCAGCAGCCCTCAAGTTAACAATTAGCTCACGATCAGCTTCATCCCTTCTTCTCCATATCTCTTGAACAGCATCATCCAGATTCTTTACCTGCAAAAAAGTTGAAGGGACTCAAGAACAATATAATTCAAAACCATCTTTCTCCTGTAGGTGTTTCCACCGGGGGAGGGGGTGGTGGTGTTAAGAAAACCTGATAACATTCTCCACGACATGCAGTACACTTGTACTGGAGATTCCCATCGATTTGGAACTGTAGATATTTTTCATCACTGTAAAAATTAAAAGAACAAAACTTAGCAAGGGGAAATACAAGTGTAGTTCCTCTGCTTTAAAGCTAAAAGATTGATGTTGCATTAAATCAGCTCACAAATTTAAAGAATGGAGAACTGCAACTTCATAATTAATGCATGTACTAAAAAGGCATGGAAACAGGAACTCAATATATTCAATTCAGTGCCGTGCTGTAATAATTTCATGAGGAAATGACAAATCATGTCACTGCTCAGTTACAGCTGAAGACCAATGAAAGCATAACATCAAGGGAACAATTCAAGACCACCTTCACAATCACACGCACCATCTGTACCACCCTATTATAGTGATATCAAAGGAAAAAAAAAGTAGTGTGAAACTGCTGTGCAATCCATAAGTTTACCAAAGCACCCACCCACCGTGAATAATTAGGCTTTTCCTTATTTTCTTTCATCAACTTTTGACCTTCGAGTGGGTATTACTAGTAAGAAAGACTGAGCATGTACAGCAATATACAAGATAGCAACAAAATCAAGAGTATATTTTCTGGTCTTTGCAAAAGTAAGAACCAAAAGTAGGGGAAAACCTGATACTATCACATTGGCAGTGTACCCATCGCTGGCAAATGTCACAGCAAACCATTGGAGTGGATTCTGAATCTCTATAAACCTAAAAGAAGAACACAGTTCACTCATTATTTTTATTCCCCTCAACCAACAACTCTCTTTTAAGTAAGAAGTAAGAAATTGACAGACTACCGGTGGTTATTGTATTAAACCACAGAAACTGAACTTTCCATACCTTAAATGAACAGAAACAACTTAAAATCCCAAAATATTGTGTTTATGAAAAATATATTACCTTCAAACACACAGGGCAATAGTTCCCCTTTACAAATAATCTACCGCATGCATCACAAAATGTATATCCCAGAAACCACCTGCATTTCAACAGCAAGCATGAGCCCTTTTCTAGTATTCAACTCATGTAAATCCAAAAGAAACAGTATCGCTCCTGATACCCACAGAAATAAACTCATAGCATTGCATAATGCACATTACCTAGAAGAATATGACTCATTAGTAGTTTTTTTAATATATTAATAATTGTGAGCATCTAGACCAGTTTATGCAAACTTCAAATATTGCTAGTTAGTAGTCACGATGATCCTTAATTCGGAAGACAATCTTTAAAAAAACATCAATAGTAAGTATTATATCTATCAACATGCAAACTGAAATCTATATTGACAAACTGCGTGAAAATTGTAATCATAAATTGCAGCAGGCAAGCCAGAAAACTTAGACATTTATAAAATAATGCATTGAATCTACCGTCCCAACAAAAAGTAAGAATAACAGAAGATGAGGTGAACATGATATTTAAATGAGGAAAACTGAGGAAAATAAGAAGTATCAGCAAGACCATCCAGGAGAAGAAAGTGTGTACCTCACACTTTGGCCATTTCCTGGAACATTGGACCCACAGCTGTGGCACTTTGTATGTTTTGGACACAGATAAGGTCCAGAACTTACATTCTACAATATTCAATCATTTGCATCAGCAATAATAAGCAGGTCACTTGACTGGGAAATAAAACTCAAGAATGGGAAAGCACCCCTTACCTTGTGAGGAGGATGCTGACAGTAACAATGGTACGCACCATCACACCTTTTGCAGAACATAAACTTATTAGGATCACCTGTTCTTCTGCATACCTGATAACACATTCATAAAAGCAGAACTTTTTAAATCACATAGCAAGGTGCTCTTATCTCTTCAATTACTAAGGAGCAATATCATACATCTCAGTTATAACTTATATGTATCTAATACCAAATTTTTGAACAATGAAAATCATTTACGTCAGCGTATGTCTTGAATAATAAAATAAAATTAATACAATATGGAACGTTAACTTCAGTATCAAGGCAGAATACTCGGTCAATATTCTCCAGTTTGCAATCCTCCCAATACATAAAAATTACCTTATCTCTATCTAACATTTAATTTTGAATTTTAATCACCATATCTTTAATACTCATTTAAATTTACAAGTTTGACCTCTGYGATACCCTTCCATGGTAATATAACTATAAGAATAATTCTCCAGTTCACCAGTCATTTGTTTTAATACAACATGCACTACATCATCTAGTGTATCATATCTCTATTTATTAACCTGCATTCAATCCTGTTCATATTGATTACCAGATTCAAACATTAAATTGTTAGCAAAGTAAATTGCTTAATGACTCTGAGACAATTCATATAGCTTGAAGTATCACCTCCCCCATTTTGAATTTTAACCCCATCAAAATACTCATGATTCAGGTTTATTTACAATGAAAAACATCAGATTTAGTGATTAAAGAGGCCGTCAGACATTAGAGAACAACATGCTGCCTTTGAAATAAAGGTACCAAATATTAGATAAGAGACGCTGATGAAGAGAGAAAATAGAGGAATGCTGCATATCGCTTATTACCTCGCATGCTCTGCAGGAAGGGCAAGTCCATGAACTCCAATGAAATAGATCTGTGGGTAAAGCCCATAATAAACGTTCAAAAAAATTCTGATCTCAAAAGATTCTAGTGACCACGAAGCCTTACCCCTGTGTTGAGCCCAGGATTTCAAGCAGCTGCGATGGTATTTTTTGCCACAACTTTTGCATGAAAGCATCCTCCTTGCTCTCTCACTAGCTTCATTTTCACCAAAAAAACATATTCTACACATTACATTCACATTAGATTGCCCCTGCTCTTCACCCACAACAGCACCAGAGGCATCCTGTGCAAGGAAAAAAAACCCACGATTATGACTGCAGCTTACAGGGCATTTCAATAATTCATCCTTATAAATGAGATTCCATATTGAAAGAGAACTTGAGGCAACTTTCACAGACATGCAAGATGCGGTCCTCATAATAAAGGTCATTCACTGATCTAGTAGTAAAAACCAAATGACTGCATACTTAGCACCAGCCGCTGCATTAATCCTAATTTAAGCAAAAATTATGTGTTTTTACTAAATTAATAACTAGTAACCAAGAAATATGACCAGCATTTTAAAAGAACCCAAAAAGTTACTAAAGATCTGCCCTCTAAAAACTCCAATAGTACTACATCTGGTCACCTAAAATTCTCGAGCTGCTGGATACAAGCTAAATTCAGTGTCAGAACAACAGGAAAAAAAAAAGTCCCCACACTCAACTTCTACTCCACAATGATTTTATTAACAGAAACTCAACTAAGAAACAATATGATGTTAAATCCTTTACGTTACAAAGAAAACGATCAAAAACTCAAAACCCTCACCACTAAATTCCCAGACTCAAACCGCCGAGCGTAGTCCTCAGCAGCAATCATAGCAGCAGCCGCCTTCCTCTGAAGCGCAATACGCTTGGTCTGAGCCGACATCGCCGCAGCCATCTCGTCAACCCCATCACCTCCTCCTCCCACAAACGCCTCACCGACAACCCCAACAGGCTGCACTGGTGGGGGTGGCGGCGCAACCTTCGGAACCCACACCTGAACCGTGGTTCCCTTCCCATCTCTAGCCCTAATTCCCCAAGGATCCTTAAGAAACTCCTCCACCTTAACCACACCATCAAGAAAGTCATTCCTCCCCCTCCCACTCTGCAACCCCGGCGCAAACCCTAGCGGGCAGAAGCAAATCCTCCGGCTGCAATGCAACAACACAACAAAAAACTGACCCAATGAGCCCTCAAACCGCGAGAAAACCGAGATGGGCAATGGAGAGAATTAGAAAGCGAGAGCAAAAAATAAAAATAAAAAGCGAAAGAAAAAGAGAAGAAGTAAAATGGGATTAGAAAGAAAAGAGAGGGGAAGTTTGTATACCATGTAATTGGACAAGCTACGTGAAATGCCATATTTGCGAGAGATTTAGAGATTTTGAATTTTTGATTGTGCGTTAGGGATCTCTCTCTCTCTCTCCCCCCTCTAAAATTTTAATCTCATCCAAAAATATATATAAAAAGAAAAAACCCAACAACAAAAATTAAAACTTTTTTTATGTAAATCAAAAATTAGGACTGATGAGAGAGTTGAGAATCGAGAGAGAAGGGCGGGGCAGAGATTTTGAGCGAAGTAAAATTTTTCGCCCTGTTTGAAAGACCGTATTTTTGTCAAAGTGCCCTCCTTTTTTAAAAAATTAGGTTGAATTGTCGTCGGTTTGACGAGAATGCCCCTGGGTTCAAGTCAAATTTTCAAAGTCACCCAAACTTCTACTTCTTCACTCTCTCTCTCAAATATGGAGAAATTCAAGCTTCTGCTGACCAATTTAGTGTGTTATCTTGGCCATTGAGTTTGAAGGGTATTTTAATTGAAGGGTATTGTTAGATGAGTGTTATGAGAGATCAAATGAAACTTGGAAGTTTATTCGAAATTAAGGATATTTTGGTAAAATTGTAGGGGATTTTTTTTTTGGGGGGGGGGGGGGGTTTTACCCATGTTTGGAAGTTAGATTTTGATGTATTTTTGGAAGGTTGTGTTTTAAATTTTCTAACAAACTATATCAGTTACTGTTTAAATGTATGGCAACTATGATKGATAAAATATACTAAATCACTTATGTTGTCGTGGATAAATAGATGTTAGGTATTAAAATAGTATGTCACTAGAGTGTGGCCGGCTTGAATAGTTACGATGATATATTACGCGTAAAATATAGGCTAGTAAGTAGGTCTATTCTTAAAAACTACCAAACTTAAGTGAGTTCGTTGTGAAAAAATATAAGTTAACCGTAGTATAAGTAAGTTGTAGTGTATTCTAGTGTGACTAAACGTTGTTTAAGATAAATACAATAGTACATATAAAATTCTTAAGATAAGTGGAAGAGTACATAAGAAACTGAGCATAAATATGTGAGTTATTCGCTAACTCTACTATGAAATCAAAATCAAAAGCGTCTGCAACCTCCAAAGTCTAATGGGGCGAAATCTGACCAAGGCAAGATTGAGTGTCTACCAAACTAACGAAGATGATACAATACCTAATAGTATAGGCGAATTAAGATTAAGTGTCTCCCTCTAAGATCTCTAATATAAATACTTACTCATATTGTGATGTAAACCATACCAAATATGTGCTATGTTCATTGTTCCAACTAGCACAATCCACACCTCAAACAACATGACGTGAGTACTTTGAAGTGCTCGTGGCTATTGAAAATATCAATAAACTGATAAGGGATTAAAGTTGTTGAACTAACCGTTTAGACTTCTCACTTTAGTTTGTAATAATTTAATATATGTACTTTTAAACTGTTTGTAACAATTTAGTCTCTATCGTGAAAATATTTGTAAAGTTTTAATCAAATAGATCAATGAACCAACGAGGGAGCAAATTTATTTATAAGTTACAAAAAATCATTATATGATAAAAACCCATACTTAATTTTCGATAAGATATTTAACAATAGAGATTAAAAGGTTATCATTCTAAAATTATAAAAAAAAAATTAAACATACTATGCTAAATTGATCAATACCAAGTATCGTAGAATCAGATAGTTATCCGTGAGAATAGTCCAGGTGCAAACAAGCTGATTCTGACACTAACGAATTAACGAAAGAACTCCCTGACGAAACGACGTCGTTGGTTGAAACCGTTAAAAAAGGGAGCGCATCAAGAATGACGCATATATATAGAGCCCACTCCCCACTATTTTCAGAGAAGGTTTCAGTTTTAGAGAAGAAACACCATGAACGTCCCCGATCGTTACGAGCGATTCGTCGTGCCCGAGGGCGCCAAGAAGTAAAATCGCGAACCCTAAATATTTTTTTGTTCATAGTCTGTTTCATTCGACGATCGATTGCTTTTTTTTTTCTCTGTATACAACCACCGGTCGCCGTCTCCGTTGTGATTTGTTTCTGTACGGACCTCCATTTTGTTGCCATTGTAGGGTTTCATACGAGAGAGATACGAAGATCATGAACGCGGCGACCTTCATACTAGAGAGAGAGGATCATACCGTCGGAAACATCCTCCGCATGTAGGGTTTTCTGTTAATCGGAGATATTTTATGGCGATTTTAACTCGTTCCTTCGTTTTTGTTTAGCGTACTTTGTATTGAGTGTTCTGGCGTGAATAATCAGGCAACTTCACAGAGACGATAATGTGTTGTTCGCTGCATACCAGCTTCCGCACCCTCTTAAGTACAGAATACTTATCCGGGTTAGTACTTCGGTTATTTTCCCATCGTGTATATGTTTCTCTGTTGCATGAATGGTTAATTGATGAACAGCACTGTAATCATATTTGCAATCGATTTTGCTTTTTGGCAATGGCAGCTTATACTCTAGATTGGTTATGAATACTGTAACTCTATGGAGAGGTGGAGCCATTTTTCAATTTCAAGAAATTTAAAGGGACAATTGAAGGAGAAAACCTTAAAAGCTTAACTTTTTTATATGATTTTTTAATCTAAAACGAATTAGGAGGGGCTTTGTTATGGTCTGTTCTTGATTAAATTACAATTGACTAATAAGTTCTGTTTGATGTTCTCTTATCATTCATTTTTCGATTCTTTTGATGCATGATGTTAGTATTATGCAGATACACACAGCTAGCCAATCTTCACCGATGCAGGCGTATAATCAAGCTGTAAATGATTTGGACAAGGAGCTTGACCATTTGAAATTTGAGCTTGAGGTAACGCTTTCATTCCCCCTTGACCATTTTCTTCTGCAATTTGGGTGTGATATGGTTATGATTTCGTTTATTCATTGTGACAATTCAGTCTCAGCTTTCTCAGAACAAACAAAAAAAAAAGTGCTAATCGACCTGAATCATTATCATCATTATCATTACGTTCAAATACTATTTTTGTCAAGGTTTACACCTATTTTATTTCGTTTTTGTTCTTATATTTTAAAATCATCTATTTGAGTTCTTGAACTTTACATAGATTATGACCTTATTATTTACATATGTTTGTGAATTGCTTGATGCAGAGTGAGCTTTCAAGGTTCTCGAGGGCCTATTAGTTTTACCTTCAAAGGAGACGAAGGGGAAGTTTTGTTATCTAGCTATCTGCCCATATTAGATTCTCGATTCTTTGCATATGTCCTTCAACTCAATAAATTCCAATTGGCAACTGAATGCCAAAAATAAATTTTATGGCCATCTTAGTCTAATATAAATTCGAAATAAATTCTGCGATACCCTTGCTGGCCTGAGTTAGATTAGAGGATGTTTCTCTTGCTTAACCATGAGAAATATGAGTTAATTAAGATTGGTAAATTGCTGCTCAAAGTAAAGACAATTGCTTTTTTATTTGTTTTTGTTCTTTCAGTACAACTAATTGGAATAATAGGAGTTCGAACTTCCAGATCTCAAGAGAAAGAGTAAATGTCAAAGTTATTTTCACATTGACCGTTACCCTTTTTTTTTAAAGTTTTATAATCCTAATATAGGGTGAAAATTCAAGCTTTCGACTTTGTTTTTTACTATGTTGAAGTTCACATATAGACAAAACTATTATTAAAAACCTGTTATAGCACAATTTACTGTTATCTGTGGAACATTTTGAAAATGACAGGCKAGGGTTCAAGTAAATCGAAATGTTTTTTCTAAATCATTTTTAAATCGCCAGAGTGCTATTTTCCATAACTTCAGAGTCATTTTAGGTCTACACAAACAAAAAAAAAAAAGGG